GACATCTTACGGCCATTGGAGGCATAATGGCGCTAGTTTCAAAGTCCCCCATTGTAAACTTCTTTAATGAACATTTCGGAATTAAAAGTATTCCATGATCAGTAAATCTATGAAAATGACAAATTGAACAATCTTTACAACAATTACTGGTATAAAAATACAATGAATAGTGTTAGAAAAATTATAAAACATACAATTAAAAAAGAGAGAGAGAGAGAGAGTTATTTGAATAAAGTAAGGGGGCAATGAGTTTGAATTTCTATTGAGGCTTGGATTTTCATTCATAATATGTAGACTTTCTTTTATCAAAAGTTCATGATCATTACATCTAGAAGTTAAAATTAAAAAATCTTCTAATGAAATGGGTGTGATGACGTTTCATTATGACAATATATAGAAGACTTGTGTTTGTTGCCCATTGTTCTACACTATTCATTATTAGACTTCATTTTCCACCAAATGTATCAGTTTGCTAACCTTTATGAAAGAGTGTCTTTGTAAACTTAGAATTCAGAGTAAAGTGAGTTTCAGCAAAATTTATTAGATACATTATGTCTACAATTTGTTTTGATAAACTTTGAGGTATTTGATAGCTGTAGCCTTTTCATTGTTAAAGTTAAACAATGTTCTAATAAAATTGTTATATACTAGCTGGAGTACCCATCCTCTAGATGGAAATTATGTATATTCATGATTAATGAAAGGATATCTTGGGACCTGAAATGTAAAATTGTAAAAAATGCAAGAACACCCATAAAAAAGTGCAAAACACAAAATGTGAAACCACAACTTTACATGTATCTCCGCATTGATTCAACAAACTTTCATGCAAAATTTGCTGAAGATCCATAAACAGGGGGAGAAGTAGTAGTAAAAAATGCAACAAAGCCCATCAAAACTACAAAATGTCAAAACTTAAAAATTGTATGTATCTCCTCATGGACCCAACGAACCTTCTTGCCAAATTTAGTGAAGATCGGTCAACAGTGGGCGAAGTATTAGTAAAAAACACGAAAATGTAAAGCCATCCATAAAAACCACAAAATACAAAACTAAAAGTTTGTATGTATCCCTGCATGGACCTAATGAATCTGCATACCAATCTTTGTGAAGATCCATCCACACCCTGCAAAGTAATTACATGGACAGATAACAGACAGTACTGTAATATCTATATAGATATGTCATTAATATTTTTTTCAGCACATAAAACTTGATATTAAATATCAACTGTTTTCATTTACTTTAAACATCACTATGGTACATAATGATACATACCACTCTACAGAGGTTGAATATGTTACAATAAATTGATTTTGTAGTCTCACCATGACAGTACAGACCATGTCCAGTCATGCTTTGCCTTTACCCTTATAAACGTGCCCCCACTTGTAGGATTGGCTCTCATAGATTACAGAGGTGATTACTTTTGAAGCCATCCCTTGGTTCCAGATGGTGGGAGCTCAGCTCTACCTTTGCAGATGACCTTTGGGTCACACATAATCCTTCTCATGGACTTTTTCCTGTTTTACTAACACTCCATTTTCTCTTTCTTCTTCTCCATTTGTCTTTCTATCCCTCTCAGATCCCATTTATTTTCAACACCTAGAGGAGATTGTATCCACTCAAAAGGTTATGAATGCCATAGAACAGATCGAAAACCACTCTCTGGGTTTTTACACTCTTTTTTTGTCAGTTCCAAGAAGGCAGGAGATTGGCACCATGTCATAGATCTCTTGTCTATGAACCAGTTGCTTGATGGTGGATTTTCTCATTCTGATGTGGGTGTTCTCTCCAGGGCTATGGAAGTTCAAAATCAAAGTTTTAGATACTTTTATCCACATTCCCATCAATTTCTCCAGTTTGTCCAGATGATCCGATTTTTCAGTTCTGAAGCCTTCCTTTTGGGTTAGCCATGACCTCATACATTTTTAATAGTGTCATGAGATCATTTACATGGCAGATGAAATTCATTAATCTCCATTTCCACTACTGTTTGGATGACTGGCTCCTACTTGCTTCATCTAAAGAAGCTTTCACAGCTTGCTCTCCCTCCCCCTTCAGGAATCATCTTGTTTGGATTCACTGATCAAATTTTTCAAGTCTGTCTTGATCCCCACTCAGTATCTAGTTCAACTGAGAGTCATTTTCAATTCAGATGCAGTGTAGGCTCAGCCATCTCCTTATATCTTCAAGATATGGAGCTTCTGGTTATCAATGCTCTCATGTTTCCTACTATTCTTAAGCATGAGATTTTATTGCTTTTAGAGTCTCTAGCTTTGCTTGAGTCCATTGTTCCTCTCAGACATGACCAAATCTTTCCCCTTCAGTGGAACCTGACAGGTCAACAGAATATGTCCAAAGATTCTCTGTTATCTCTAGTATCTTTCCCTCTGTATCTTCATCTCTTACTACCATAGTGGTTTGATTGGTCCCACATGACACTGGGTATCGCTCTTCCCCCACTTTGCCCAGACCTACATCTGTTAACTGACATCTACACCCTAGCTAGGATATGGTCTCCAGAAGAGTGGTCCCTTCATATTAACATCCTAGAACCGTTTGCTGCTCATTGAGTTTGCTATCATCTTCAGTTTCATCTGCCTAGTTATCTTGTGATGACCCATCTGAACAACTCCATTGTTTTGTCATACCTCAGTGTATTGGGAGGCACTTGATCTTTGGAACTCTGTTTTATAGCTCTGGATTTATTTTCAGTTCCACAACCACCACCTTCATTTATTGGCCTGTCATTTCCCAGGGGCTATGAACCTGGTGATAGATCAACTATCTTGCTTGAGCTGGATCCTTCCACAGAGTGGTCTCTCCATCCTCTGATGTTTCAGTGGATTTGTTCCCACTTTGGGAGTCCTCTTATTAATGTCTTTGTGAATTTCTCCATCACCAAACTCCTCTTTTCTGATCACCACTCCTAGGCTATGTAGCTCTGGCAGTAGATGCTGTGAGCCAGGATTGAACCAATTTCTTTCTTTATACCTATCTTATTCTTTGATCTCTTCCCATGGTTCTCTCTCTTTATGAATGCAAATATATGATATACCCCCACTGTTCCATTTGCCACTCCCTTTCTCCAAGTTGTCTTTCCCATTTTCATTTTACTTTCTCTTTTTACCAGGCTTTTTAAAAGCAATTTAACAGTTTTTATGATTGCTGATTTTAGAGTGGCTTTGTCAACAACCTTCCCTCTCTTCCTTGGCCATTTTCCTTTTCTTTTTCTGGTTCTTATGGACCTCTTCCAAGCTTTTCTCATCAATTAATTGTCTCTCTTCCAGACTGGAACTTTACTCTGGCATTTTGCCTTAGACACCTCCTACACACTTTATCACAAGGATAATAAGTTTATTTTATTCCCAGACCACATTTTCTCCCCAAGACTTGGGATGCTGAGGACAGTTACTGGATGTTTTCTCAAATCACTCTCCCTTCTATTTCTTCTCTATATGATCATTCCAACTCCACCCTCAACTGTGTCCTGTAAAAGCATTTTGATGTTATCTTGCTCATACTGCTCCGATTTGTGGCAACACCATCTTTATTTCTTGCTGTTGGATCCTTCTTCTTCTCAGGACTTATCAGCTTCCACTTTGACTGGTCATGTTCATTAACTCATCTAGTTTGTTTGTTATTCCATGATATATTACTAATACAAGATTGACTTGTGGTAGATGTTTGAAATGTTTTATTCATGTAAATCATTTTTCAATAATTTACAGAAGTTGAAGCATATTATTTTAAAGATGAAAGGAGATTAATTAATATTTCTGACATTAATAATATTCTTATTTTGTGTAAATATGTATTTATACCTTTGTTTTAGTTAAGCTACTAATCTGTATTTTGAGCAAACAATAAAACATTTTTTTCTATGGATCTTCTGTTGCTTTTGAAGTAACTGTAACAAAAAGTTCATCTAAAAATTGTTAAGCAGGTTAATTTCTTCAGTATCAAATGTTTAAGATTTAGGCTTTCAGACAGTTCTAAGTCTAATTGGTTCAATACTGGCCTATTGCCATGATACAGAGATTCAGAATCATTCAGATTGGTTGATGGTAAACTGAGATTTTTTGTTCAGTTGTTATGACATGATGCTTTATATCTATTCTGTTTCTGAGAAATAAAACAATTTGTTATTTTTTTACTTAAAAAACAGTTAGAATTAGAATAAAACAACCTTTCAATTTTTTTTATATTTATATAATTTAGCACTTCAATACTGTATTACTTTTAACTCTGTATGATAGTGTTGTTTGTCTCCAGAAAGATTTATCCAAGTGTGAATCTTTGGAAGATGTTAAATTCCTAGAAGTAGAGATTAATGCTGGCAACAATCTTTTGTCTAGAGGAGCTAAATGGTTACCTGGACTTTGTTCATTAAATTTGTCTGGAAGCCGTCTCTTAAGTTTAAGGTAAAGTTTTAAGCTTTTCATGAATTATTTTTTGTAAGCTAATTGCATTTAATTTTTTATGATTATTCTAGCTTCATATGAAGTTTTTAAGGCCTTATTATTTAAGTATAAAAATGATAAAGGAATAATTAAAATTCATATAACAAATTTAAATCCCATGTGGTAGTCCAAGGATAATCTTAGCACACAGTCACCTGATCTGTACAATAACTGGATAATTGAGAATCTAGTATGTGAAAAGATAGAAATAAGTGATTTGTGGGAAGACAAGGAAATAAACAAGAGTTTATTTATGTTAAAAAAACAAGAATAAAATGCAAGCTTGCTGACTACCTAGTTGTAGAACTTATTTTGTGTTAAGAAAGAAATAAATGATTAAACTGTGTTTAATGAAAGGTAAACAAACAAGACTATTTAATGAAATTAAAATGGAAATATGCTTTACTATGAAAATAAACCAGAAGTATGTCTGATTGAATGATTAAAAGAATGGCACACATTATCAGCAGGTCACAAAAGATGCAGAAAATAAAGACGAGTTTTGTTTTTGCAAACTACTTAGAAACAAATATGTTTGAAAATGCCAATAAAACTGCATTTACAATTAACCTCTCATTAGTTAACTAATAAAAAAATTGGATTAGAATAATCTAGAAGTATGTATCTGCTTCATGTGACAATCATAGGACAGTCTCATGTTATATTGTAGGACACAATACAACTGAATCATAAAACAATGAATAGCTTATATGACCTGATCCTGCTACAGAATATAACACCAAGGGCTGTGAATATGAAATACACACCATAGGAGATTGAGATATGTGATATATGGGTACTAAATCCCTATGCTAGAATTATCAAGGGGTTCTGCAAAATTTAATAAATTATATTATGGTTATGGATCAAGATTTTATTGCCCTGACTGGAACTTGAACCTGAGAACCATAGCTAGTCTTCTGAAACTAAGCTCTCACACAGTAATTTCAGGAGATGTTCTTGTCCCTGCAACCAGTATCCAGTTCTTGTGTTGATCCAACTGAGTAGTTTGATTCATCAACTTACAATCACATGTGTATATTAATTTTCCTTAAAACCAAGTAATATTAGTTATCATTTATCATAGTACTCATCATAATGACCTGTATGTTTTAACTAGCTGATATGCTCATTCAAAGCATGGAGAGAACATGGAGGCACCAGTGAGTGACATACAGTAGGGACTAGATATGAACACCCTATATGTCATTCTCTTGGGTATCCTAAGGGTGCTTTTGAGGTTTGGTAGAGATCAATAGAATAGTATGGGAATACACAAGGTTCCCCCCCCTGGGGGTGACATAATACGGTCAGATCTGCTCCCACCCACCCAAAGGGTGAATATTTAGTTTGGTTAAGATCAGTCAAAAACTCTAGGCATGAAGCAAAGACATTTCTGTTTTATACACAAACACATATATAGATTCACATCACATTGTATATCACTAATGAGGCCTGGCATGGCCAGGTGGTTAAGGCGCTTGACTCGCAATCTGCGGATCGCTGGTTCAAATTTCCGTCCCACGTGCTCACCCTTTCAGCCATGGGGCAATATAATGTGATGGTAAATCCCACTAATCATTGAGAAAAGAGTAGCCCAAGAGTTGGCAGTGGATGGTGATGAACAGCTGCCTTCCCTCTAGTCTTTCACTGCTACATTAGGGATGACTAGCGCAGAAAGTCTTCATGTAGCTTTACACAAAATTCATAACAAAAACCAAATGTTATTTTTTATACTTCGTATGTAGACATTTGCTGTAGCTAATATATTCCTTCACAAAGATTTAAATACATTATATTTGATTACTGCAGTTTATGATAAATAATAGGTCATCAAGAAATTAATGTCACTTTTTTTTTAGATGGAAAACTCAAACAACTTATATATCAAAACAAAACATTTATTAAATGAAATAGTTTCCATTCATATTGATGATGCTTTTCCATCTTACAATCAGGTTCTTAATTCCCTAATTAAAGAAATCATTTGGCTTTGAAGCAAAATACATGTTGTGGTCCTCTTTAATACCTTCCCTATTTGCATATGTTTTCCAATTAAGATGGTGTTGCAGTGAATGAAAAAGATAGTAATCTGATGGTGCTGTTGCGTCATCGAGTCACATGACTACTGTGATGCAACGTTTCTAGAACTATCATGTACTTTGGCGAATGTTCAAGTTGTTACTAGAAATAGGGTAGGCGATATATATAAGAGGGGACAACGTGACGATGAAGCAGTCGTCGACGTATCTGCAGTACAGTGCAGGGTGGTGGTCCTGCAGCACTTTGTTTTCTA